AACCTATAGGGCTTTGTTTGGCGCATGGAATGCAACATTCTCATTTGGAATCACATCTCAAAAATCTGGTATCCTAGTATCAAATTCCTAAAATGTTGCATTATCATGTTTGGTTTAATGAAATCATCTCCACAACATATATGTTTGCTTTGGTATGTGAAGATTTCCGATAATATGACTGTCATAGATATACTTTACCTATGTTAGTTCTTCTATGGTGTGAGGAGGAAGAGAATGAGGTGGGGATGAAGCTGGACTGATACAGGTGTATCTTCTCTTCGGAACTTAGCGATCCTCATGAAAGCTTGAGGATAGATAATTCTCATGATAACTTGAGAATAGAGGTGTAAAACAACACAGTGGAATGCAGGTTGAAACGTAGAACGAGACGACGAATCGAAGAATCAAAACATCCAGTTTTTAGCCCGTGAGTCGACTCATACATGTACATGAGTTGACTCATTAGGTTGAGTCGACTCATGCCTGTCATGAGTCGACTCACGAAACCTAGCCGTTTTGTCAGAAGTTTCTGACCAGTCGACTCATGACTATCATGAGTCGACCCATGTGTCATGAATCGACTCATATATGCACATGAGTCGACTCATCGATGGTTTCCTGGTTCGTTTGGGTTTTTGTTTGCACGAATTTCTGTAGGGTTTGGGCTTGGTTATTTATCACTTTGTCATCCACGTTGTTACACATATATAAGAGATTGTTTTAGGGTTTTAAAACAATCAAAAGAGATTAGATTGTATTTGAGAATTGAGAGAGATTGTTCTTCAATTTTTTAGGGTTTTAAAACAATCAAAAGAGATTAGATTGTATTTGAGAATTGAGAGAGATTGTTCTTCAATTCTAGTGAGATTGTGAGAGATCAAAAGAGATTAGATTGTATTTGAGAATTGAGAGAGATTGTTCTTCAATTCTAGTGAGATTGTGAGAGATCGTAAACTATTTAATTCTCATAATCTAGAGAAGGTATTTTCCTTCGTCACCACTGAATTGTCCTTGTGTTCTTGTTATTTTCTTCTTAACCATCTTTGATAATTCCGCGATCAAAGGTACTCGCACGACGACTCGTATCATGGACAGTAAGTGACAAATTGTGAAATGGGCGGCAACAACAACATTATTGGTGTTCATGGTGACGAGATGACAAACAATGATGGATAGCGGTTATGGTGGCCACAACATTAGGAGTGCCATTGTAGTATTGGTGTCATAATTAATAGTTAGCAATATACGATAATGGAATACTAGCATTAACATGTCATTAGCAGTTATGGTGGTTGACGACAGTATTGGTTCTGTGGTTTTGAAAAGTAATAGTGGTGATCGATTATGGGGATGAGGATGACGTTGAAGATGATGAGGATAACAATGATGTCTTTTGTGTTAGTGGAAGTATTGATGCTATTAGTCACGATGGCTACAATAATGACGATAATGACAAGATTGCGAAGGAGGAAGAGAAGCAAAGCAGCAGAAGATTAGAGGGGTCTTGGGAAGCTTTTTTTTTTATTATAAGTCTCTAAGTAATTGTGATGGGGAGCGGGCAGAGGGCTTGGATTTGAATGCGGGAGGACTAAAAAGAATAGAGGATCAAGATAAATAGGTCTCACACCCAAGGGCATCACACCCAATTAGAGAATAGGCTTCACACCTAAAGGCTTCACACTGCACTAGGGAATATGCTTCACACCTAAGGGTTTCACAGCAAATAAGCAATTCACATACTCAATATAAGACACATCTCGAGGACTTTTCATTTTATTCATCATAGTCTATTTCTCATGGAGGATTAAAAGTCTTATTTATAGAAGATAAAACCTAATGATCCACATTTGGAAGTAAATAAAAATCTTAATCAAATCAAAATCTAGCAAACTTAAAAGATATAATCGAATAAAAATCCTAACTAAATTAGCAAGTAATATAAAAACTAAATCCTAAAGAAATCCGAACTTAAACAAAATATTATGTAAAATAAAATCGAAACCTACCTAAAAACTAAGATCCTAGTAAAATCCTTAACAGATGCTTCATCAAATCTTCTACAAGATTCATGTGTGGATCTGTCGTGCATCAAATCTCCTCTTTAAATTCAACGTCCTCCTCGAAAATGCTAAGACAAGGATAATAAGCTTTTTCTAATGTCATGATGAAGACTTTGGATCTTACTTCAACTCTGGGATTGATTTGATGACGATTTGAGATTATGGACTGCTGCGTTTATTGGTGGAGGAAGAAGAAGAAGATGGAGATGAATCTTTTTTGTTTTTAGTGGAGGAAGAAGAAGATGGATATAGATCATTTGGCTATGGTACCAAATGATGGGGAGCGGGTGGAGGCTCCAAGCTGAATGTAAGAGAACTTAAAAGAAGAGAGGATTGAGTTAAATATGCTTCACCCCCAACTAGAGAATAACCTTCACACCCTACTAGAGAATAGGCTTCACACCTAGTGGTTTCACACCTAATTAGCAATTCACATGCTCAACAAAAGATTTCACACCTCAAGAACTTTTCATTTTATTCAGCAGTCTATTTTTCATGGAGGATTGCAAATCTTATTTATAGAAGATAAAACCTAATAATGTACATTTGAAAGTAAATAAAAATCCTAATCAAATTAAAATCTAACAAACTTAAAAGATGCTATCAAATAAAAATCCTAACTAAATTAGAAAGTAATATGAAAACTAAATCCTAAAGAAATCCTAACTTAAATAAAAGGTTACATAAAATAAAATCAAAACCTTCCAAAAAATAAGATCCTAATAAAATCCTTAACAAAATCTTCATCAAATCTTCTACAAGATTCACATGCAGATCTATCCTGCATCGGATGTATCCACCTATCATATAGGGAATAAGAGAACATGACACCAATGAGAATCCGCTTTTCTAAAAAGTTTTAAGCTTACATCAATGCAAGTTTGTGAATGAAAATTCCAAATTAGATTTATGATATAGAACAAATCTTAAAGTGAAGGATGAGATGATCACCTTTATCTAACGTAGTAGGTAACCAACACTTCAAATGTAGCATGTTAGGATTTCAATTTAACGAGAGTGAACATGCACGACATTAATTTAAAATAAGGCGCTATATCAAACAATTAATTTCTTACAGATCCAAGCATCCTAGCACACACTTAACCTAGGTATCATGGACACGGACACGAATACGAGTCACGACAGATTAGCAAATTGAAGGATACGGGGACAGGGTATATAATATACCCACATGATCAAATATTGAACGAAAAATACCAATAACATTTGTATGTTTCTTTCTATTATCTATAACAATTAAGAACCAAGTTAAATCAAATCAAGAATAAGATTTAACAACAAAAAGTTTGGTTTTGACTGCATGGGATAATACGATGAGTATTTTTCAAATATTTAAGTAATGGGTTTCAGTTTTTGGGTTAAAAAATAATTGGTTTTGAACCTGATATTTTCAAAGAAACTGGTTTAGGGTATAAGTAATGGGGAAATCGGGTTTTTCTTTGAACCACAAGTGTCCATGGAGTGTCCGCGGAGAGTCGGTGTCAGGCATGTGTCGAACACGGACACGGCACCCAAAACGAAGTGTCTTTGTTACCTATCACTTAACAATTCAGTTGTTAATTTAGGGAAAGCATAGCGGAGGCAAAAATGTGTAAGTATTTCTTAGACAAGTGCTGGGATTTTAGTAATAGAGCATAGTTACGACCTAAGGACATGGATGGATACAATTAAAAAGGATCTCATAAATGTTAGTTCAGTCGAGAGATGACTCATAGATAGGGACATGGGAGAAAAGTATGATGTAGTTACATTGGCAGGTCAAGGGGTTTGAGAAAAAATCTTTGTTACAGGTATCTGTGCATCGTCATGAAGGTAACTCTAAATGTTGAATTTCTTTTTTCCCTTTAGTCTTCCTTATGAATCAAAGGTGTCCATGAGTGAGGCACAAATGTTTTCTCCCTTTTGTTTTCCTATGAATCAAAGGATCTCATAAATGTTAATTCAGTCGCGAGATGACCCACAGATAGGGACAAGGGAGAAAAGTATAACGTATTTAAATTGGCAGGTCAAGGGGTTTGAGGGAAAAAAACTTTGTTACAGGTATCTGTGCATGCATCATGAGAGTAACTCACAGGTATCTGTGCATGCGTCATGAGGGTAACTCTAAATGTTGAATTTCTTTTTTCACTTTAGTTTTCCTATGAATCAAAGGTCTCCATGAGTGAGGCACAAATGTTTTCTCCTTCTCTTTTCATCTTTTCTCCTTCTCTTTTCCTCTTTTGGTCTTTTTCATTTATCTTTATTATGTGATTTGTCAAAATTTTCTGAACTGAAACTAAAACTTTCAACAATTTTAAAAGCCTTTGAAATATCTTTTATTCACAGAAAATTTTTCCCAATAGATTAGAGGATACTCAGTGTAGCAAGCCTGAAATTTCACCATTCATTTGCATGCTCTACTTTTCCCAATTTATATTTCTAACTCCGTAAAATATATAAATCATATGCCTATTTTCTGGCAAAGGAAACAATTCACATGAAATCTTCGTATATACATATCTGTAACTCTATGTTGGAAAATTGTGGACAAATATAGTTTATTGGTCTCGATTGAAAGCATATCTATCTTCATTCTTATAAGCTAAATTATCATTAGAACTAATCTTGTTGCAAGGTGATTGTGGTTATATAAAATAGAAAACACTACAGTGTATGAGCCTAGATTGGAAATCATATGTATCTTTATTTTTATAAGCTATCTTTGTGGGAATTAAATTCATTCCTAGGTGATTGTACTCTACTTTAGGCATTGCATCATCTTAGCATTCTCTGCATTCTCTACATAGTATTTGCGCACCTTTTTACAGAGAAGAATTAGTGTTACTTAGACAAACTCACTCGTGCTTAACTGCCAACTTATCTTTGTTTATATTTATAAAAAGATCTTCACTGAGAATGTATTGCGGTGTTAATATGCAGTACCAAGCTGGAGACCCAATTACACTTTGGGTAAACAAGGTTGGCCCGTACAATAATCCTCAAGAAACATACAACTATTACCACCTCCCATTTTGCCATCCATCTGAGAACCCTACACACAAATGGAGTGGGCTTGGGGAGGTCTTGGGTGGAAATGAGCTGATTGACAGCCAGATTGACTTGAAATACCAAAGTGTGTAAACTTTTCTTTCTTTTTATTTAATATTATTATCATCTTTATAGTGAGCTTAGCTCGATAGTACAATCTGGTTTTTTGGAGCATATTATTGTGAATTTAATAGATGAACAATTTATTTATAAACATGATTCTTTCAGACAATGTTGGCAAGGCCTCTATTTGTACAATTGAACTTGATGCTGAAAAAGTGAAGCAGTTTAAGGATGCGATAGATAACTCATATTGGTTTGAATTCTTTATAGGTATGTGTCCTTCCCTTGGCTTCCTTTTCACCTTTTAATTTAGCAGAACACGGTTTTGATGATTTCCTATATTGCTATGGCTGATGTCTGTTGTCTGCTTGCTGGGCACAATTATGTAGATGACCTGCCTTTCTGGGGTAAGTATCTCAAATTTATCTGTGCTTCTGTTCCTTATCTAAGATGATCAGACACCTCTCACTTATGCTTACTGTAATCTATCAGGGTTTGTTGGAGAGACTGACAAAAACAATGAGAATAAGCACTATCTTTTCACACACAAGAATATTGTCGTTAAATACAATGGAGAACAGGTGATTGATTAATCTATGAGCCTAATTAATATATTTTTGACAAAACTAAGGATGCTTGTCTGCAACATCATACCCTGCAGATCATTAACGTCAATCTCACTCAAGAAAGTCCTAAACTCTTGGAAGCTGGGAAGACATTGGACATGACTTACTCAGTTAAATGGGTGCCAACAGATATTATATTTGCACGTCGTTTTGATGTTTACTTGGATTACCCTTTCTTTGAGCACCAGGTAATTCAACTTCAAAATTTGCATGGCAAGTTTTCTCTTATTTTATATCCCATTGGAAGGTTTTCCTTCCGAAAGGTTGTTTTTTCACACTTGGGGTAAACTGTATGACAGCCTTTTGCAAGTTGGGAAAAGCCAACATGTAATTCTTTCTGCTTTTTCAACCTCTCATTTTAATCTAACTTCCTTTTAGATGCTATCACTGTGTGCACCACAATCATTGTTTCTATATTTATAAGAGGATTAACACCTCCTATGAAAATAATATGTGCTTTGATTTGTACAGATTCACTGGTTTTCCATCTTCAATTCTTTCATGATGGTCATTTTCCTAACTGGCCTGGTGTCTATGATATTGATGAGGACTCTCAGAAATGACTATGCCAAGTATGCTCGGGAAGACGATGATCTGGAGACTCTGGTGATCACACAGAACTTTTAACTGTTTATATGTGCTTGTACCATTTACCTAAAAGAGCCATTTTCTAGCAGTGCTTTTGATTGGGTTATGTATGACTTGTTCACTTAACATGTTGATGAACGTGTTTGCATTTCTATTAGGAAAGAGATGTAAGTGAAGAATCTGGTTGGAAGCTTGTCCATGGGGATGTATTTCGGCCTCCTCGCAACTTAGTTCTTCTTTCAGCTGTTGTTGGTACTGGTTCCCAGCTAGCGTTGCTTGTTCTTCTAGTCATTTTGGTTGCTATCGTTGGGATGTTGTACATCGGGTATGTTATGGTATCACCACACTTCTTGTTATAGTCACTGTATCTGTATGTGTGCATATACCACTCATTATGATTCTTGAGAAGCAAATACATTTGTTAATTTAGCTGGCATAACTATTATCGAAACTTATGCCAAGCAGACATCACCAGCAGCCTGACTTAATTTAGGCGGCATAATTATTATCCAAACTTACATTAAGCAGACATCACCAGCAGGTTCGCTTAGCTGTTTATCGTAGCCGCTGTCTTCATCTGTGTACATTGTCCAGAAAATCAAGGCCCTATTGTGGAAGGGATCCACCTTCTATCTGGCCCTGTGTGCCTTATAGTTGATATCATTTCCCATAGTTATTCTATCATATTTCACCAACTTTTAGATTCTTTCATGTCATAATAGCAATCCAGAATTTGATTCTTGGTTTTTGGTTTTATGAGCTTAAAAAACCGCATTAACCAAAAGTGAGGTAATTCTACCTGCTAACTGGACTTCTGGAATCTGTTGGTGTTCTAAAATATAGGGCAAAATTATTTTCTCGACAAGGTTCTGTCATCTTAGAATCTAGGTGCCATATTAGAGGGGTGTCATAGAAGGAGCTTGTGAATGAGTATTTGCCTCCATAAAGAGGTTGACTAATTTCTACGACCAGGATATCGTTTCTTGTCATGGTTTTCTTGGCTTCTGGCACCATTGTAAATTGTCATAGACTCATAGTGAGGGAGCACTGGGTTCTGTCAGACTTTTGCCATCTGTCTGGCACTCGTCTGTGTACATTGTCCAGATAATCAAGGGCCCTATCATTGAAGGTACTCTTCTCTCTGGCCATTTGGGATTATCATGTCCTTATAGTGGATACATTTCCTATAACAATTCTTTAATCTTCCCTCATCTTTTAGATGCTTCCATATGCAAGTAGAATTTTGGAGGATTGCTTCTTGATTTATGAAATTAAACCACATTACCAAAAAGTGAGATAATTCAACCCGCCAACTGGCTTTCTGGTATGTGTTGGAATTCTAGAACTTATGACAATATCTTTTATTGACAAGGTTGCTTGGCTTGGATTCTGGGACCATGTTACAGGTTGTCATTATGTTGACGCTGTTCATAAAGTTTTCCTAGGCTATTTATAGAGACTAGCCCTCCTTAGGGGCATACTTCCTGGTCCAATTTATGATACTTGTTTGGATGAAATTACTCTCAAAGAGAATCTTCATTCCTCCATGGATATTTTCTGCCAATTTTATCCTTGAACACCCCAGAAGGTTATGATATAAAATAAAATTAGGCTAAATTGCATTTAAATGCCATATAGTTTCACCAACCCTGCACTTAAAGTGACCCCTATTTTAAAATTGAGCAACTAAATGCCTCATAGTATTTAAATATTGCTGATAACTGCCCCAAAGTTTCAAACTGTTGCACTTTAGTGCGCTCTTGTTTACTTAATGTTGCATGTTGGTGCACTCCTGTTTACCCAATATTGCACGTAAATACCCTCGGTTTGTAAATAACCTCACTTTAACACCATAGAGTTTCTAAAAGCTACACTTTAATACCCTGTGTTGTATGATATTTTTGGGTACGTAGAGAAATAATAACATTATCTGGGTTTTTTTAAACTTCAGGGCATTGATCTGCAACATTTAAATACTTTGGGGTTTTTATTTGCTTGGTTTTAAAATAGGGGTCACTTAAGTGCAATGTTGGTGAAATTATAGGGCATTTAAGTGCAATTTAGCCTATAAATTATATTCGCAACTTAATATTTGCAAAATCCAATTTAACGGCACAACAGTGGTTGAGTTTGTAGCTTGATAAGATTGTACCATGCTACATGTCAAATATTTTCTTGTCGATAACCTAGTACACCACAAAAAACAATGCTCTAAGAAGCAGCATAATAATGGGTATCAATGATGTGAAGAGGGCAACATTCTTCTGACATGAGTCACATGACTTGTATATTTTCTAGCTAGTCATTGCCAATACAATCTATTGAGATTGATTATCATGGTTTGAGTTAGGTAATTAATTTTTCTGTTGGTTCAGTCATTGTGCCAATACAAGCTGTTGTGATTCAGATTGCTTTGGTTCATTTATGAAACTGATTGGTGATGGCTTTGAGAAGGCTATAACCTAAATCCACCACTTTTAAGGTGAATCTTATATTTGTTTCTGAGATCTCAAATGGACACTTTCATAAGATGCGTGATATCTTGAATTCTAAGCCACGTGTCTTGTATGCGACAACTAATCCTTACTGAAAGGGGTTATTTTACTAACCATCCTGTAAACTACCATGAATTTCGAAAATTAGATAAAATACCCATAATTTTTTTCAAACAAAACCCCCTCATACTAACACGTTAAAGTTTCGCATCTCAGTTGCATGACACTGACACGGGAGGCCAAAACAGTAAATATCTCTGATTCACAAAGAGATCCCCTCCCTATATGCTTTTTTAAAAGCCAGCCACCCCACCCTCAAGCCGTCTTATAAAGTTAGCGCATCATAGCGGCTACTCCTATCGTTGGTGACCCCCATCATTGGTTGACGCTGTCACTTGTGACCCTGCCTTCCCTTTTCTCTCTCATCCTAGCCTTTGGGCCTACTTGTGATGCCATGTCATCTTGTTCACTTATCTTATTTGAGAATCCTGTCATCCTGTCATTGCATATTTTATCCCTCTCTGTCTCCTAGGTTGTGGAGTAATATAGCCAAGGATTTGGATTGGTCATTTAGTAACGCCCTAGGTTGTCATATTTGATATGTAGGCATTTGGAAAAGGATGTGGATGTGACGGGCTACCTCCTTTGGGAGACCATTAGTATAATCCAGTCAGCGCAAATTTTGGGACAAAACTTTTTTCCCCCTTCTATTTTATCCCTTGGCTATAAAAGCAGCATGCTGATTTTCACATCTAAAAATTCTCATGTCAAAATTATAATTGCTTCATTATGACTCGTCTTTCCATTTGCCTGTGTATATCATACAGCTCATTTTGGATAATTCTGACATGCTCATTTGCACTTCAACATGCTCATTTGTACATTTAAAGTCATGAAAATTATGTTCTGTTCATTACACTCAGTCGTGCCTCTTTATTTGCTGATGTACAATGTCATGGATAAGCTGCTTAATTGCATATAGTTTTGTTGCATTGGGTTCATGTGCTTAATATGCATATTGGTTGATTTTAGTTGTATCTTGTAAGTTGGAAAATTATGCATGTCAGCAGAAAATTTGCTAGTAAATCTTCCCATTCTCCAAGTTATTCGCTCAATTTATGTTAGGAATTAACTTTTGAATGCATATATACATGCATAGCATGCATAAATACATACACATAATTTGTATGTATGAGTGCACCTGCATCTAATAATAGACATGTATCTTGATCTTTAGTGTTTTCTCTTGTTAACACATTCTGTATTGTTGCAGGCGAGGGTCTATTGTTACAACTTTTATTGTTTGCTATGCTCTGACATCATTCGTTTCAGGCTATGTCAGTGGTGGGCTTTATTCAAGGAGTGGTGGTACGGATACCTGCTAGTTTAGTTTTCTTTCTGTTAGCCAGTGGCAATTTGTTTCTTTAACTTTCTTGGCTTTAAGGAAATCTCCAATACTTGGGGACTGGGCTATGATCCACTTCATATACTTTCATCGAATATTTGCTTATTTATCTTATGATTACTCTTGTTTATTGTCAGGTAAAAGTTGGATAAAGTCCATGATCCTGACAGCATCCCTATTCCCGTTTCTGTGCTTTGGAATTGGTTTTGCATTGAACACGGTTGCTATATTCTATGGGTCACTAGCAGCTATTCCTTTCGGAACTATGGTTGTTGTTTTCGTAATTTGGGCATTCATCTCCTTTCCTCTGGCACTTCTTGGTACCGTTGTTGGCAGGAATTGGAGCGGAGCTCCAAATAATCCTTGCCGTGTCAAGACCATTCCTCGTCCTATCCCTGATAAAAAATGGTATCTCACGCCTTCTGTTGTTTCACTCATGGGAGGACTTCTTCCTTTTGGTAGCATCTTCATTGAGATGTATTTTGTCTTCACATCCTTCTGGAATTACAAGGTAAATAAGTATAAAAGATTTGTTTCTCAATTGTCATTCTAAGTCGGTTCTTGCAGGAGTCATGATTTCTTGATCAGCCACATGATTTCTTTGCCTTGTGACATTTCAGCTAGTTCATCATTCTGTTGGATATGGAAATTTGGGTTAATACCCCGCTGAATTGTTAATAGACCCTCTGTAGTTCTTTGTTGCGGATAGTCCTCTGTACTATCGCCCAAGTCAGGATAGGCCTCCTTAATGAGTTTTTCTTATTTATTTATTTTTTTGCCCTCAAGAGGTCTATCAAAAAAAAAATTCT